AATTACATAATTTGACTTCATTTTCACACCATTGTTTTAATGGATCACCAGAACAATTTAATATCGAATCTTTGAACAATAGATTTTCATTTGGAATAACATTATTAGTTTTAGTTTTAAAAAAAGAATATAAGAGACCATATTTTATGTTAATAAATAAAGAAAAACAAAGAATAATGGAAATTATATGAAATAAATAGTGTCGACGACGACGAATCGGGAACTTTGAATAACATTTGCTGAACATTGAAACTGAAACATTTGATTAAAAAAGAAAAAAAAAGAAAAGTTTGACAATTTTTATAGATATTTTTATCTTGTTCTATAAAGTTCACATATATCTTATCAGAAGAAAAGAGAAAAGTGCAAGGTTTGCTTTGAAAGATATGATGGTGGACATTGTAAGTTATTTTTTTCGCAGGAAAGAGATAAAATATGAATATTTCAAGATTTACCTTTTAACAGCTGTTGAATAAAATGTTTTATAGCATGCTTAATGGACAAATAAATGAATTTTTGATTACACTGTTCTAATTAAACTACTTCAAAAGATATAGGGATATAAAATGTGTACAGAATGAAACAATAGATCTTTGTCGTATACAAAAAAAAAGCTATTTTGTGCTTGTTCATAATGATGAACATGTATCGTGTCCAACATGTTTATATATCTCTTTAAATATATAAAATGATATTTTGTTTATTCTCGTAAAAGCAAAACATTCTAAATTTATATAATGTTCTTCGAATTCTTTTATATTTAATACATACAATTAATGAACTATTAAATTATTATCTGATAGTAATCATGATGTTCGTATGCCGTTGATCTGACTCGTATGACTATCAAATTTCACAAAAGATAATTACAGATAAAACATAACGATTGATTCTATTTAAAATTATGCTTGTAGGAATCATATTTTATTCTTTGAAAATATTGTAAAAATAGATAAGTCTTAAACGATTTATTGAATAAATTTTCAAAAATATAGTGATTTAGGATTATGACAAAAAATTATGAAAAGACTTACATTAGTATGTTCTACATGACAACTTACAGTTTATGTCTGTTACCTATATGTGAAATGCAAATTAGAGTTTAGTAGTTCGATTTCTTCAATGCTCTGATGTCTTGCTTTTATTCCGTTCTGTACATAATATAATTGATATAATAAGTTTGATTCTTTTAGTTCTTTTCAAACATACCTTATGATTCCTTCGATATTTAATATTGGTAATAAGAAATAAGTATGGTTAAGAATTCGTGTTGTTTATAATTAATAACGGACTGCGCATGTTTTTTTAAAAAGCTTACATTTATAATCCATTCGTTATTCAATTTAACTCAAAAATAATAACAGATGATGCACTTTCTCATAGATATGAACATTCATATGATTAGAATTGTTCAACATTGAAGAGTTTCGTATGTACATACATACTATTTAAAGTGATCAATGGCCTGCTGTTTGTAGTTAAAGTATTAGAAAACATCAGTTTTATCATGAACATATAAGGATCACTAGGTTCCAATAAACTTACAGCACAGTTATGATTAAAACTATATGCCATACAAAATGAATCATTACATAGTCATTTAGGAATGTAAAATATTATTATTAAAGTAACTGCTATTCATCTACAATATAGAAATATATAATCATATCGTTAATAACCAGAAAATAAATCAGTTGTTTTTTATTTTTCTAGAGTGCGAGTAGTATATTAGAGAGTGTATAACAGGTGTTAAAAGAACGTCGAATACCGTAAATAGAGAACGAAAGAATGTATCATATTATGTATATTAACTAACTGAAAAAAAACTCATGATGAATTAGAAAATTTCATTTAATAGACTTCAAAAAATAAAATAGTTCGAGTAAATTTTAACAATAACAGATGAAATTTTATTTTTCTTTGATGTTACGACAGAATTCTCAAAGAACTTTAATTATCTTAAACTTACTAGATTTAATTTACTTTCAAACATGTCACTGGTAATAAGTAAATTTACTTGGCATGCCATTTATATTATAATTAATCTGATTATTTTTTACCTTTATTATTACAAAGCATGATCTACTAACCAATTATAATTTATAAATAAATCTTAAACTAGCGAAAAAAAAATACTTAATTCGAAAAATTTCATAGATTTATCCTCATTCAAACACTGTATCTTTCAAGATCAAATTACTTTAAAAGACAATAAACCATCAGATTAGTATCCTTGAATTACTATATTTACTTCTCAAACAACATTGCACGAACCAACTGAAGACATTTTTTATTAACTAAAATCACGTGGTTATTTTATATCTAATAATAATAATAAAAATGGTCTCTTACATAAATTCCACATTGTTAAATAAGAAAAAAAGAAAAAGAAAAGAACACGTTCCATTTCTCCTGTTCCGTTTATATGTAATTCAATCATTAGTAATTTTTTTCTAATATTTCTCATGAGCAATTCTCAATCCCTCTCTATCCTTATTATTTTGTCGTTTGTATATATACATGAAAAGAAAACAAAAGAAGCTGAAAACTCATTATAGTTTATAATTATGTTCTAGTCCATAAACTCATACATACTCTCATAATGGCTTTGCTTGTGAGCAGTCAGAGCAAGACAAAATGTCAGAAGTCTTCCAATGCAGAAGAAGAAAAGACTTTTTTCCCTTTATATATATATATGAGAATAATTATGTATACAGAACCATCTAAAGAACATATGACAAATGATACCCTTTATTGCTCGCTTGACAGAAATAATAATCAATATATTATCATTGAGAATTTCCTTCTCTAAAAAGATTTAGATAAATTACGAGATCATATTCATATACATATTGCTTCATGGATATATATATAACAGTTCAACAGCTGAGTAAATATAGATCGTACATTTTCTTTATGTATAATAGTTTTGGAATTATGCTGGCGGGTATAAGATAATTCAATTAATTCTTCTATTTAATTTTGTATTTATAAAATGTTTTCATCAAATACTCAAGATGATCATAATGTGTCCGATTTGAGTTCAACAATAACAAACATCAATACAAAATCTCAAAAAATTAATATTCATTCGAATCAATTGATAAACGATGAAAATGAAATAAATAATTCATCATCAATATTTGATACTTCATTTCCATATATGAATGAAAAATCTAATCTATTATTAAAATTAGATGATTTATGTATAAAACAAATAAAATTAGAAGAAATAATAAATGATATTCAAAAAAATATAATTACTCATGATTTAATAGATAATTATAAAAAACAAATTGAACACTATGAAATAATTTTACCATACATGAATAATTTAGAAGAATTCAAAGATAAATGGACATTTTTTCGTTTATTTATTTGGCGTTTTTGTTTAGATATATATAATTGGAAATCACTTGCTCATTCGATTTATCATATTGACTATTTAGTCAATAATCTAGATAACTATCAAATCAAAGAATTTATACAAAAAAAATTCAAAATTTTATTAAATTCTTTTATTTTATTTATTAAAGATATAATTACTACACAAATTAAATCAGAAAAAGGACCGTTAAAAGATCAGACAACGAAACAAAATGAATCATCAAGAATTAAGTATGATATTAAATTACGATATTTACAGAAATGATATTAATATTGTAGAAATTATGCATTGAATAAAAAAAAATATTTTTTTGCTGATTAGTACAAAAATATTCGTAATTAGTTGAAGCATAGATCAACTACGCTCCAATAATTCATCTGTTCATTATAAAAAAAAACAAAGTCAAGCGTATTCATATCAAAGTTCACGACCATATATTACTTTTGAACTTGATGACATTCGTAAATATCAACGACAAGCATTATTAAAGTCACCATATGGTGCCATTCCACTTTATAGAAGACAAGCATGGGTAGTATTATTTCAGTTAAATATAAAAAGAAAAAGATCAAATTGTTTTTTTTTCTTTTCAAAAGGCAGCAGCTAATCTATCGCATGATCATTCGTTACATCTATTACGTCATATGCAAAATTCACTTCGGATAAAAGTAAAAATTAGAATGTTTTTTTTTTTATGAAACACAATCTAAAATGAGTGTTACAGCTTAGGGGTAAAAATTTGGATTCCCCTGAGATGCTTGTATGTGCTGCAAGTTCAATGCCACATAACAAGTGTGAATAGAATTAATAAATACTCTCTAGATAATTTGTATTATAAAGAGAGAAGCAAATAAATATCATGTAAAGATGTGTGCTTTATAATGATAACGCTCAAAACAAAATATGAGGTCACAACTCATAGACTCACAAGCATGTCATCACAATTCACTATTCTATATTTCTCTCTAGTGTTAATTAAATAAAACAAATACATCAGAATAATGAGTACGAATAATGATAAAACAAGAAAGAGAAAATATATTAGGAAAGACAAAAATTCAATATAAGAAGATAGCAATATAGGTGACGATACACCCTATCGTCATTCTCTCTTCTCCCCTTTCCCCACAGAGTATGATAAACGCTAGCCAAAGACTATCAAAGTCGTGAACTAGACTCTATCACAGGCCATAACAGCTGTTGTTGATTTACAATGAAAGAACATATATCAATAATACCACCTTATACTATATGAACTACTTTCCTATTGCATTTGTGGAGAACCAAGTAAAAAAGATCGAGACGAAAAATGCTCCAAAACAGATAGAACAAAGCAATTTTCTTGTAATTAGCAACGGTAGTTAAATAGTATTTGGCATATAAATCCTGCAGGAAGTGCACCAACAGCTTTTTAAATTAAAATTCTTATTTAATTTTTACTCTTTAGATACATCATTTATTTGGTTATGATCCATCTCATATTTGTAATAGAGATAAGAAAAAGAAAATTAAGAAGAATTCAGTTATGGAAATATTTAATACAAGTCAAGATATATTAATTGTTGGTAATAACAATAAACTATATCGAGGTCGTATTAATTCATGTCAAATAATTCCATTAAAAACTACAAAAGAAAAAAAATCAAAAATAAAAACAAATGTTGATGAAAATAATGAAATACTGAAAATTAATTTCGATCAACTTGATCAAACAAATAAGACAATAGCTGATGAACATTTATTTGACTATTTAGATTGGGAAACACAATTTAATGAACAAGTAATTAGCAAAAGGCAACAAAAAAACAAATTTTGTTTTTTTTTTATAAAATTCATTTTCCTTAGGATTTACCAGATGAACTTTGTGAAGAATTGTTTCATCATTGGAAATCGATTATATTTGAAGATCAACCATGTATTTGTAATTCTAAATCAAAATCAATTCTATCTCAAGAAAAAGATAATCAAGAATATAGTTTAATTAATACTCAAATTCATTCATCAACGTCTTCATTAAAAGATATTTATGATGATCGATGTATTTGTAGTGATTGCTCATGTAATTGTGAAAAATATGGACATCACGAATCTAAATGTATTTGTTCACAATGTTCATGTACATGTTTAAAAGACTTTCAAAGTGAAAATCAAGATTATATGGAAGATTTATTTGAAATTTGTGAACAAAAGAGTCCATTTTTATCAACAGATAATAATTCACAAGATCATTTAACTAACGAAATAAATATGCAACAAGAATTTCAATTAATTCCGAATGATCAAGCATCAAATGTAGAAAGAATTCAAGAAAATGATGAAGAAGATGAAATAATAATATCTGATTGTTTTCTTAATCGAATTGATCAATGGACACAACAATTCGATCTATTTCAAGGTATAGAAAAAGAAAAAAAATTTTTTACCTTTAAAAACACTTCAATATGAATTCTTTTTAGATACATACCGATCATGTTTACTACCTGAAGAAAATAATTGTTCGACATTAAACGATAGTTCTCAGCCTAAAATATCAACTCCAATTGCTTTTCGATTTAATATGATTTCTAACCCACTTGAATTAGATGATCCTACACTTTTTCGACAACGAATCCTCGATCATCATCGACAACGCAAATAACCTACATGTAAACAATATGATCAATTTTTTTTGTTTAAAAATTTTAATTAAATATTCTTTTGGTTTCCTATTCCAGTCATATATTGAATTCTTTTTAATAAATTACAAGTCATTTGTTTGAATTCCATAATCAAAAGGGAAGAAATAAGAAATAAGAACAATGAGAAACAAGCAACCATTATTACACATAATTTCAGCATGCAAATCATTACTTTTGCCGTTGCACTACACAAGTGTGTCGTATTGTGATTACAGTATGGTAATTGATTGCTACTTTCACATGCACTTAGCAAAAAAATACTTTTTTTGTGAACGAGACAGAGCGAACACTGAAATTGACAGACATACATAGTTTTTTTTTGTCGTGCTGTTGTTGTTGTTACTGTTGCTGTTGTTATTGTTAATTTTTTTCTCTCCCGTTGGGTGTCTCCATTTTTTTAAAAAAAAACAGAATCGTTATTATTATTGCCACTGTTAACAGTTCGATCAGTCAAGCGTTGTGCCACTGATTTAGATATAGAAGAAAAAACAAATTCAAATTGATATATTTTTTCAAAGATGACTCAAGTCGTATGCTTCTCATCGAATACAAAATCGAAGTGAGAAAATCTAAATTAATTTTTAATTTATTAATAAAAGAAAATTTTTTTTCCAGGTTCGGCAGTGATCCATTAAAAAGTGATTGGAATGATTTTCAACATCTTGCAACACAAAGTCGTTATCTCACACCAAAAACATTTACTGGGTAAATATTTTAAATTTAGCAATAATACGTATACTTTTTTTATCTTCTTCTAAATAGAATTCAAGCTCATCAATCTAAATTAGCAGCAATTAAAAAACAATTATATAATCCAAGATTACCATCTATTCGACATATGGAACGTGATGATGTCTTATGTCGTTTAGCAGACGAACATTGTCGTCATACAACTTTATTAACTGAAGGTTTGGACTTTATACAAACAAATTAATTCTTGCTTTTTTTATTTTGTCCTTTTAATTTAGAACAATTTGAAAATTTTGATCCAACTAAAGATGATGCATTCATTGAATTATTTGGATTAGTAAGCAATAGAAATCGATTAGAATTTTCTTCACTGTTTTTTTCTTTAATAAATTTTAGAATTGGCACGATGCAGGTAAAACTTTGATGAATACAGATGATTCGGCACCAGTACAACGAGAACCATCGCCTGTATTTGGCGCTAGGTTTGTATGAATTACTTTACAAATTCAAATATAATATTTCTATGAAGATTACGACCAGACAAGTCGCAAATGGATGCACATCCAACTCAAAGTAAACTTTATCGAAGTCCATCATTATCCTGTTTATCATCTTCGGCAACCTTAACAAAACCAATTAAATATAGTTATCGTAACTATGGAAGTGGGACGTTTGATCAAACTGCTAAACATACAATGTGGCCAAGAGTATGATTCGTATTTATAATAAATATATCTGATTATTTTTTTCTTTTTTTAGTTTCATATGAATACAAAAAATTCGTTTGATTCAATTAATCGAATGCCTCTGCCCAGTCAAATGCAGGTAAAACATTACAAAATAGTTTTGTATTTTTATTAATAATGATTGTTATTTTAGAATATTTTCCGTTCAGCAAGTATGAACGCTGGTGTTTCAGCTGCTCCTTGGAAATCAGCAGGTCCTATTGGTAACAGTGGTTCAAAGATAACTCCAGTTTAAACAAAAAAATAATTTAGAACAGTCTTTCAATTTAATTTTAGTGCTTCATGTTTTGAGAAAAAAAATAAAAGACTTGAATATGATTAGTGATAGTTTGTTTTGATTAGGAATGAATAGAACAAGAATTTTTTTGTTCTAATACGAATATAAGAGCTGTGCTCGACCTATATGATTTGACATCAATAAATTGAGAATAAAGATCTGAAATTCAATGCGCAAAGAACAAGCAATCGGTTACTTATTTGTTTTTCAATTGATTAATAGGTCAATTGAATATGACATTCATCTTTTGAACGATTTGGCTCTTATAATTCATTTTAACATCATAATATGGATTATTTTGAGAAAATTTGACTGCATATATTTGCACCTAGTCAGAAAAAAAACTTTTTAATACTAATGGAAAAATAAACATGTCTTCGTAAAATTCAATGTTGTTCTTTATTTGCAATCATTTTATATTTTTTGTTCTCAATATTTAATTCATTATTACTTCATTTAATCTGAAAAGACATGAAGTCGCTTATTTTGATATAATGAAAGAAAATTTGCCATGGAGAAAACAAATACAACAACAAATATTATTCATTATTCATTTATAAAAGAAAGAGAAAAGGGGCTGCATCTACATTGTGGACACTTGCTTTGCCCCATTAAGAAAAACGTCTACAAAAAAAAATCAGCCGCACAAAGACAAGATTTATTGTGTGCAAAAAAAAACATTTATGAAAACATAGAAGAGTATCTAATACTTGTTAGATCCAAGATGGATCTCACAAGAAGATTCACACAACTATATCATAATATTCACTCTTAAATCAAGTTACGTACACTAATCCTCTTACTACATCTATTTTCACATGTTTCCATACTCCAGCCATTTTCTCTACCTTCCTCAATTCCGGATTGCAGACATTTTTTTAGATTAGTGGCTATTTTGACCTCTTGTTGTCCTTCTCTGACTCTACTTTGAGAATTCTTTTCTTTCAATTAAGACATAATACCCACAATCAAGAAGGCACTCAAGGTGTGCACATTATATCAACGCATCCACTTTAGTATTTATGTAATCTTTTGCCTATTGACACAAATAGAGCTTCTTTTATTAATAGTGATCAACACGACGGAAAAAAGTATGTCATACGTTTTGATAATAGATTGGTAATAGTAATTATATAGGAGCAGTTTGAATAATATGATGTAATTACATATTATTAATATTGTTTTACCATTTCAAAGGAAAACATCTAATATCTTTTAGTAAGATACTTTGAAGAAATATCTTCTAGGCGTTATGTCAGCTTTATTAATTAGACGCCCTTCTTCGCTGAGCCCTATATTAAGATTCAACTGTAACAATAGCTCCATGCAGCATTTTGAATAATGCTAGAAATTTTTTCAATCTGCGTTAGCGTATTTCAACTTTTTTATTTGACATGTACTTTTTCATCACAAAGATCACAATCATGTAAGAATCAGGTAGAAAAGACGGACACAACTAGATACAATATATTCAATATAGATGAAGAAAAGAAAATCACATAACAACATTGAACACAGCATTCAACAATACAGTACTAGTATAGACTTATAAAAATTGAACAACATCAAACATCTAAGCTTTTAGAATGGAGTTCATGTTATTCAATGGTCGAAGACTAATTGAATTTTCTGTTGTAAAATTAGCTGGGGTGACCCGATTTTTTCCGATAAATTTAAAAACTTGTCGTTTTAATATTTTTCTTATTTCACTTGACATAAACACATAAATGTAGAATGTAAATACGTAATTAAAATGATAAAAAATAAGAATGACTTGACCAGCAAAATTTTCGACTGCAATACGAAAAGCATCTTTTTCAACGTAACTGGTTATATCAAGGTAGACGCCTTGAAAACCGAATGGTATTCCGGATATAGCAAGAATCGTAAGTTGAGGAAGAAGCATTGAACGAACTTGTTTTGAAAGACTCTCTTGAGTATTGCGAATAATATTCGAACGAAGATTTTTTATAGTACCTCTTGTACAAAAGGTAACCACTGCAATAGGACCTATACAATAGACCAATGGTGTGAACACATATGTATTGAATGTTGTGTATGGACTAGGAATGAAAGCGCAGACACCATGTCGGATTCCAGTGAAAAATAAGACTGGTATATAGATGAGAATCCAAAAGAGCATATTACAGACGACCACTAAACGAGCAACACGCAAAGAACTCCAACGATTTCGAAAAGCGACTTTTCGAGAAGTAGTAGCATATTGATCGAAAGAAGCCCAGCATGGAAACGAAATCGCAGCTACGGTTGTTACATAACGTAAATAGGTATGTTCACGACAAGCGGCAACATTTGTATTCATTAATGAGGTATTGAAGCCATAAACAAGGATCATTTGAATATAAATTGTTGGCAAATGAATCCCTGTTACAATTGCACCTGCTAATAAGTAAGTTATCGTTGTATTCCGCCGAAATGCACGTTGTCGAGTAAAGACTATAACAGTTAGAAGTGATCCTAGTATACCTAGGATCAGAAAAGGTATAGCAAATACATAATTAAGAAGACGAGTTAGTAGATTGAATGTTTCTGCGTTCAACATCTCTGTGTAGAATATACGTTTTACTTTCCTTTTATGTAGTGAAGAAGTAACTAGTTTCTTCTCTCAGTTTAATATCTATTTATTAAGATTCTCGAAACTTCTTTTTTTTTCTCATTATTGTTTTGGCGTTCCTCTATTAGTGCACCTCCAAGAGATAAAGGATATGAGATGATCATTAGATACCAACGCTTCGTTTCACTCCCTTTGGCATGTTCATGTAAGTCAGTTTTTGAAAAATAATTAGAAATAATGGACATTATTTGAGTATTATAAGGCATAAAAATAGACTTAATTGAATAATAATACAACCTATTTCATCAATTTTCATGCAATATTTGTTCAATAGTTTCCTTAACATACTATCCATGTAGCAGGTAATGTAGAATAATGTAATTATAATACAAACTATTTCATGCATTTTAATATATTAGCTTTCAAATGGTGGCAAAAATTCATATTAATCTATTGTTTTTAATGAATCATGTGGAATTTTACCATTATTTTTTACAATCAATTATAATACATGAACATTTGAGATAAAATGCACTGAAGTTGTGGAGGTTTACAATTAATATTGTTGCAATTTATTTTCAAATTTTCCTGCATTATAATGAATTGTAAAAAAATAATGGTAAAACTCTAAAGGATTCATTAAAAACAGTGGATTAATACGAATTTCTACCATTATTTGGAAGATAATACATTAAAATATGTGAGATAGGTTGCATTATAATTACATTACGTTCATGAGTTATGAAAAAATAATGTAAAATAATGTCCATTATTTTACATTATTAGCTACATGGATACAATCCATGAGTTTTTCAATGCATTATTGGTCATTGAATAGTTATGTGATTGCAACACATTTAAATGAATCAGTTTTTTGTTATAAAATAAATCAATTGAGGATCATGAAAAGGGCAAAAAGTTTTCATGCATTTTATTTCATTTATTTTGTATCAAAAATAATGCATTGAAAACTTCATTAAACTATAGGACATTAGCATATAATATAACAAACAAAACATGAAAACTGATGAAATAGGTTACATGATCATTTAATAACACCATGATTAATGGATTATAATATATTATAATGTGCATTATTTTTAGTTATCTGTTACATGAGCAGCCCTGAGGAAATATAGATCATGTACTGGATTTGAGGAGATGACACTCTTTCATTTAGTCAACTCTTTTAAGAAATACTAGGTGTAACATGACCTAAATGATTAAATAACAATAACTTCTTGTCTTTATTAAAAGTTTTAATAGAAAATAAGTGAATTATACAGATGTAACCAATATCAACTTTTTATATCATAATTAAATACTAAAAGTATAAAATAAAAAAAGAGTATTTCGACATATATTAATTGAGCTTGTCAACAACTGAATCGCCATTTTCAAGGGTTTTATAAAAAATAAAACACGAAAAAAATATTTCAAATATTGATAAGAGAGATCATGAAAGATATTAAGAAGAAACATAGAATTAGAAGATATACATAGACTAAGAGTGAAAAGTGGGCGACGGGAGACACACAGAGGAAACAAAAGAGAAGGAAAGACGAAGAATGGAAGAATATAAAAAAAGTAGTATAATATTAACAACTTTTCTTTATAGTGAAGTAATAAGTACTTGAGCAAACCATCGGGGACAAAGTGCAAGTCGCCTAAATGCATTGTCTGATTCAGTGTTGACTAATGAAATTTTATTATACTTAACATGATGTAAGCATCACTAATCACTCCATCGAAAGGATAATGGAAGCACATTAATAATTAAAATGTCAGTCTATTGAATGATTAATTTTGTTATATTTCTGTTCGGATTGATGCACTTTCTGTATTTATTAAGATTTTACGTATAGCAGATAGCGTGATCTTCGTCATCTTGTCGTACATTCAACTTGAACAGCAAATAAGTTGTAACAAGATGACGAAACGGATAGAAAGATCGGTTCAAAGAATATTTTTTCCGAGACTAGCCAAACCAAGGTTAAGATAAATCCTCGAAACTTCTTGCTAAACTTTCATAAAGTAAATATGCAGATAAAGAAGATATATACTGGATTATTTATGAGATTCTTACAACTGATATGTTTCCCTTATTAAGTTTTATGTAGAAAATTCAAAAATGTTTTTGCTGCTTGGAAATCTATTGATGAAAAATGTATGCCGTTGATCGTCCAATCGCCAATATTCGAAGCAGTTGCCACAATATTCTCTAAAAAAAAAAAGGTTTTAATGTTTTAATCAATTCCCAAGATATCTATTCATATCTAATACGAACTATGAAATAAATATTCTTGTTTATTAAATTGAGCAAATTGTTGTCTATGAATATATGTCTCGTCTATCTTGACTATGACTGAGTCAGCAAAAGTATGAAAGACCATCGCAAGGTGCATACGATAGTTGAACAACAAATTTAAACGTTTCCAACTTTCAGATAGTTATTAACAATATCAATAGGATGATATTCAGATTATCACAATGGAAATCTATACGAATGGTTGACAAGAATACTTTTTTGATCGATAAATTTTTTCTTTATAATTGAAATAATTTAGTGCAAGTGTAGATTACAATCAGAAGATGTTGCAGAAAGCATTATATTGTAGATATTGATCTAGCTGTGGTACAAAATATAACAAGCAGGTTTGATTTTTGTGTTAATATCAATGCAAAGTACTTGGAGACTCTTTTTCTTGTGCTGATAATGGTTTTGACTATGGTTCTAGTTTCATATACATGTCATAAATGTACGCTTCATAGTCAATAATAATATCAAATTCAAGACACACACCATTGCTGAATTTCTACAAAGTTTTCAGGGCCTTATGAACGAGCCTAGTCATAGAAATGAACTAGAATGAGTGTTTCATACCTCTTGTTGGACATGAAAAGATATTCCAAAAGCTGATTGAAAAAAAATGAAACTTCATATTGAACAGTGTGACAACTACCTCAGATATTAGCTGTAGACAGATGACCAACAAAGTATCTTTTTCATGAATAGATTTTTTAGGTTACAAGATCTTTTTTGACTTCCTAAATTATTTGTAAAACAACTGCAAGTGAATCATACTAGAATCTAGTAGGTAATAATGCTTGTCGCCATTAAAAATATAAAAGAAAAAATTATAAATAAAAGTAGAAACTTTGTTATTGAGTTTCTTCTTAATTAATATTTCCAGAAACACTTTAGATTTAGATTAAACGAGTATCCAATAAAGACGATATTTGACGTGGAAGAAAAAGAATAAAGGCCGAGACGAAGCAGAGTAGAACATGAGCAGAAAATTTTTTCCTTTTTTGGCCAGTGGTTATAAAATAATGAAATATCTTTTGAAAAATGTGCATTTTGTATCGATGACATCATGTTAATGGAAACTAGAATTTTATTAAAGTAATCCAAGTCATTCCGATCAACTTGAGCAATTTTTCATCACTGAACTTAATCAAAACAAGTTCAATAAAGTATCTAATTACATTTGTCAGCTCTATGAAATTGTTATCACAATTGTAACTTCTCTCATTAAAAAAGTATGATAAAAAATTATGTTATGTAACAATATACAGCAGAAAACGTTCGTCGTTTACGATAAAGGAAAACAAATGTCATTCATTACTATTGTATACGATCATATATAATCATCCCTTAGTTTCGAGTTCAGGTACTCATTCCGATTAGCACGCTTGTTTTTCAATTAAAGCATAAAACCCAACTGTAATATATATATTAATTAGAAAAATAAGCTCTAATTTCTTAACTGAGAGTTATCTCAATTAGAAGTGTTAGTTTCTTATAACTGAATAACAAACATATATAAAATTTTTATGTTTATGAATAAATATAAATTAATTCTTTATTTTTCAAAAATTGACATGCATTAAAGAATAAAAAAATATTCCTTTCTGTAACAATTAAATAGGCAAATACCTAGTATAACTATAGGATATGTTAATCAACATTCTTTCTTATCACCAATAACATTTTGGTATGTGATACTGTTAAAATAAGTGGATGACACATAAAAAAAAAATATGTGCAAAATATCTTGTTTGTATATTTCTTTTTTATATCTATGATGTTAAAAGTTTTTGTGAGACACCTGCAGAAAATGAAAGAGTGGGTTTTCACGGAAAAAAATCTTTTCTTATGATTTAATTTATTCTAATTTTATAAATATCAATATTTTATTGTAATTTAGTCTTTATTATGAAGAACAAAACAGATAAATTAAGACATTTAATCTAAATAACAGATCCAAGAGTAATTATTGGTTTACAGTATTAAATTAAATTCTTTTACTTGATTTAGTAAAAGAGCAGATCCAACGGTAGGTATTAATTTATAACAATCAACTGCGTTGTTATTATGTAAATTTATTCCAATAGTAGGTTTAATAGTAACTATTGTTTTATAAAATTGAATTATGTCTTAATCTATGAAATAAATTATTTTGTGCTGTCTCCACTAATATTGAGGGATGCTATTAGTATAGATAATATTACACTTTCCTCACTGACTAGAAGCTTCTCTAAATATGATGGCAAACAAAGTTACATGCGATTGTGTACGACTGTTCACGATATCACATAAAACCATTGAGAACAATCGTAATCAGCTTCTCAGGTAGAATAGAACGGATCGTAAAAAGTCCGTAAATGCCGTAAAAAAGGTAAAAAATGGCTTTCGGTCCGATGATCGTTTTAATATGCAGCCTCGAACGAAGAAGTACGGCTATAAACAATATCTGTAAAGATCATCATTTATGACTCAGTGGAAATGCCCTTTGTTCGAACTGCCGGTTTTACTCCGTTAGCGAGTTCTTTTCAAACGCAATTAAAAAGTATCTTATAGATATCATTAGATGTTTTCTAACGATGTTTGACAGATAAACGTTACTGGTCTTATCTACTATAACTATTTGGGCTAATTTCTAATGTGTCGTAGAAGTGTTTTGCCGAGGTTATAATGCACTTTA